CAATGCATTCTGGTCGGTTAACAGCAGTGCATTCTGGTCGGAGAAACGGAAGTAAAATCTTACTTTCAGAGCCCAATACGAATTAGAACTGCTGACTTGCTCGCTCGCTTCAGGCTCGCTCGCTGCGTCAGCAATTAATGAACTTTTTCTTGTCAAAAGCAGACCTATTCTATACTTGTTTTGTATATTTTGTTGTATTTGTTGTGGTTTTCTACTTTTCTGAATTTGTATTAATATATTCTGCAATGTGATTTACATTTTTTGTTTATACATTGTTTTGAGTAAATCCATCTCATTGTTTTTTTGTCACGCGATCAATTTTATCAAAACTCATGTGATTTTCCAGCGCCGCGCAGGTAACTCTGGACAAAAGGGCATTGGCTCGAAACGTCGAAACTGTTTATTTTTATGAATTGTTTGAAAGCGAGATCAGTATAGGCTTAATATATATATTAAATAAATATTTATACATGTCCACATACCGCAGTTCAAAGACTAATAGACACCAATCACGGGTTTGATCTAGAGTGCATTCCACTGAGTTCGATCATTGTCTTGATTATTGAATAGATATAATGTGGAAAACTATATGGGAAACTATATATAATAACGTCACAAAAATTGGATTGGCTCAAAACTTCCCTACTTAGTACTGTGTGTTAAATGTCATCATTTTGCTTTTCGTTTCATAGTTTCTCCTCGTAACCGAATAACAACGTGTGCTGGCTCTCAGTGTCCCAGCAGATTAGGACCCCACCCCCCTCAAAATGGACCCCGGTCCAAATCCGCTAGCGAGTATGGACCTATGGGGGTCTTTATTCGAACAAAGAACCAGTACACTATTTCATCTACTCTGTTTCACTGTTTGTAAAAAGATTGTATATGTATTGAATATTATACGTATTATATTGTAACTATTACGACATACTACAGTTGGTCTTCTTATTTTGAAAATTGAAATATTCTACGAAATTTATGGAAGTATTTACTCAGATAATCTATGTTAATTTGACACTGATTAAACGCATATTGTTCCTTCGGCAACCCGCGGCTGCAATACACACACATATGACTTGTAAAACATAGACTTGTAAAACATGGACTTGTAAAACATGGACTTGTAAAACATGGACTTGTAAAACATAGACTTGTAAAACATGGACTTGTAAAACATGGACTTGTAAAACATGGACTTGTAAAACATGGACTTGTAAAACATGGACTTGTAAAACATGGACTTGTAAAACATGGACTTGTAATGGACTTGTAAAACATGGACTTGTAAAACATGGACTTGTAAAACATGGACTTGTAAAACATGGACTTGTAAAACATGGACTTGTAAAACATGGACTTGATCTTCGAGCGAATTTATTATCGATGATGTGTTTCTCTATACAGTATCTACACCTATATAGAGAAACAGGTAAAAATACACGAATTATTCTGCTGTGCTTGCTTGCCCTTGCCTCCACCTTATTTTGCCCCCGGAATTGGCCAGATAATAACGAAATAGATTCGGGACCGAGTCAACATAATTTAACTTCGAAAACATGTAATCCTTCTTTGCATATCTATGTTAAATAGTTTTTTATTAACTAACATTTTGACAAAAAAAACTTCCACCAATTTGAATTTTCTATCATATCTAGAATCGGTTGTAATTAAGCTATAAATTCAGTTGCAAAACATGAATTTATCTATGGCACCGGTCCCATAGATACATTTCTAGGAAATGAGTAACATGTCTTAGTGATAGGCATTATTAACTCGATCTACCATACTATATAGCCTAGTGAGTAGTGTACATGCACGGAGGGATATTAATCGTAAGCCGTTTTTCTCGGCCAACTCTAATATTTAAAAAAATAACGTAATGATCAAATTTTGAATAGTTACAATAATAGTTCAATCGCAAAAGTTCGATCTTTTGGCCTTGAAAATCATTGACTGAAATTCATCCTCGAGTTCCCAGATCATAACATGTATCTTGATTGACTGTGTAATGTCAGTTGGCAATTTCCGTTTGTGGACATTACTACAGCCAAGCTTTCCTTTCACACGGATACGACTGAATAATTTAATAATGGATACCAGTAATATTTGTTAGGCACTAAGGACAATGAAATGTTTTGTTATGAGTTTCGTTTTGTTTTGTTTAATTAGTGAACTATGTCTATGGAAATTTATGTTTTGCAACTGAATTCAGCTTAATTACAACATTCTAGCTATGATAGAAAATGCATGCCATGCAAATAGTGGAAGTTTTTTTGTCAAAATGTTAGTTAAAAAACTATGTTAGATATGCAAAAAAGGATTAAATATTTTCGAAGTTAAATTATGTTGACTCGGACCAATCTATATTTCGTTATTAGAAAATATGCTCCAAAGAGATCTTTCTCTTCAGTGACACTGAGAAGACGAATGCGTCGCAATCAAGAACCCCAATACATGTAATACAGTACTGTATAATTTGAAGTGTAGTGAATGTGATAATACTATACCACGCACATTTTCATTACCGCATGATGTGATGGCTTAGTGGGACTGGATTACATTGTGTCACTATTTATAAGGTTGATTTCTTGTTGGAACACTCCTTAAAATGCTGGAAATAGCCTATCTGAGATTCAATAAATCTAAAATTTTCTGGGGGATGGCCCCAGACCGGACCCCTCAAGACGGCTCGTACCTTCGGTGCTCGACTCGGTTGTCTCAGAATCCTAGTTACGGGCCTGATCTGCTGCTCTATGACGTGCACTTATTAGTTAAACCATGCATATATATGCAGGTTTCTTCAGGCCCCCGCGAAATATGTCCCCCCTCCCCCCAAATTACACATCCTTAAAAGAGGCCCTGTTTGACAATGATTTAAGAAAGCAAATTAACCACAGTCATGTATTCACCAAAGCCGAGTAAATTAAGATTAATTTGGCTTTCAAGTTGACGTTTGGCGTATAAATTTCATACTTGAACTGCTACGAGGGCTTGTAGTCGTTGAAGCATGAAATTTATACGCCAAAAGTCAACTTCAAACGCCAAATCTTGATTTACTGCTTTGGTGAATACATGACTACACTGTTAATTTCAAGGAGTTGAATCATTCAACTCCAAAAGTGTTATTTTGTTGCTGTTTTTTGCGACAAAATAACACTTTTGGAGTTGATTCAAAGTTGCTAATTACCACAAGTTTAATAATTGTTTTATATATTTCAAAACTGATGTAAAAGCTGTTATAATAGAGTTGTAAAATCAAAAACTTCGTCAGCGGTTCGACGTTTGCCGTAAACGTCAAGCTTAAGGTCTCTATTGTCTGTCCAATTCCGGGGGCAAAATAAGGTGGAGGCAAGCGAGCGCACCAGAATAATTCGTGTATTTTTACCTGTTTCTCTATATAGGTGTACATATAGAGAAACATAACATCGATAATAAATTCGCTCGAAGATCAAGTCCATGTTTTACAAGTCCATGTTTTACAAGTCCATGTTTTACAAGTCCATGTTTTACAAGTCCATGTTTTACAAGTCCATGTTTTACAAGTCCATGTTTTACAAGTCCATGTTTTACAAGTCCATGTTTTATAAGTCCATGTTTTACAAGTCCATGTTTTACAAGTCCATGTTTTACAAGTCCATGTTTTACAAGTCCATGTTTTACAAGTCCATGTTTTACAAGTCCATGTTTTACAAGTCCATGTTTTACAAGTCCATGTTTTACAAGTCCATGTTTTATAAGTCCATGTTTTACAAGTCCATGTTTTACAAGTCCATGTTTTACAAGTCCATGTTTTACAAGTCCATCTTTTATAAGTCCATGATTTACAAGTCCATGTTTTACAAGTTCATGTTTTACAAGTCCATGTTTTACAAGTCCATGTTTTACAAGTTCATGTTTTACAAGTCCATGTTTTACGGCTCCAATCCAGTGGCGGAAATCTCGGTGGGGCGGGGAGGGGGCGGCCGCCCCCCGCCCCCCCCCCCCTTCGTGGAAAATGACGAATTTTCGGAAATTTTGACATATAAAAGGGCTAAAAACAGCCTTTTCGAGTGCAAATGGGGGGGGGGTTGTCGGAAATTTGAAAGTTTTGTCGGAAATTTAGAAGGCTTCGCCCCCCCCCCTCTCCACCGGAAGAAGTGAATTTCCGCCAATGGTCCAGTCCATAGTTTACAAGTCCACAGGGTTTATTTTTAACGTGCAGTTCTACACAAAATGTGCAGTTCTAAACCCATTTGTACAGTTCTTAAAACACAAATGTGCAGTCACCAAACTAACAAAAATAGCCTTAATAATTAAAACAGTCTTCTCATTTACTCGTTATCCTTGCGGATGCTCCAGAAAATTCCAGAAATGCTGTCATTAATTGAGCATCAAAAATATAAACGTTTTCTGGAGGAGGACTGGAGACCCTCCTATTCTCCTCCCAAATCACTTACGTGCTGGGGTAATGGAAAAGACTAGCTAAAATTGGGGCGAGCGAAGCTCCCCAAAAGAGATCAGAGTGGGAGAACCTAATATTTTTTGCTGCCTGAAATGCAAATTTAAGGTTGTTATATATTGAGTATCAATGATTCTCAGTAACATGTTTTGAAAAAGTTTTTGTGAGTGGTTGGGTAAAACAAATCTTTGCCAGAACTTAAGAGCCTGTAGATTCAAATTGTTTTGGGAAACACCCCCTAACTCCCGCACCCAAAATTGAGTTTGTCCAGCCTTTCTCCAATTCTACCACCTAACCACACAATTATTCTGTCACTATATGCAGGTAAAGATCCTTCGAACCCCCCCCCCCCTTAGTAAAACACCGGTTGCCTTCGTAACATCCCTATATGTGCAGTTCTAAATTTTTCTTAAAATAAACCCTGCAAGTCCAGTCCAAGTTTTACAACATTCCCTTTGTACTGTGTATAGATGAATATATATTTGCTTCGGTCATTGGAAAAAAAAATGAAATTCCATAGAAGGTCATAGTATGGAAATTGAACGGATCTTTATTGGGAATATAGAATGGATTTTGGTTATCCATAATTATTGTATATTTCCATAGTATGGATATAGTAAGGAAATAGTATGGATATACTATGGATTTGGTGGTGCAATTGCAAATTTCGTAGTATGGATTTTTTCCCCAGAGGGTTCAACAAATATTTCTGATGCATGCGTACAATGTTTATGCTGACGTGTTCTGAATATTAATGACTATAAGGCATGGTAGACTTTACAGGCAGCCGATTACGGATTGCGGATTAGGGATTGCGGATTAGGGATTGCGGATTACGGATTGCGGATTGCGGATTGTGAACCCATGCAAATAGTTTATTTCTTCGGAAAAAAGGCACAAAAATTGCCTGTAGCTACTGTACTTGTAGCTATGCTATGCCCCCTAGGAAATGGCTATATATGCCTTGGTTGTAACGCAGTATAGCTGCGTTAGAATGAAGCAGCCGAATATTTCGACAATAAAGAATAAACCAAGTTTGAATAAAATGAAACACTCAGATTCAAACATTTCGTAAGACACATCGCGTGTATTGCGTATACTATACTTTTCTAAATAGCAAAACAACACTTGCACAGGATATTATTTAACAAATATAAAACATTTTCCGTGTTGATATACAGTTATATCAACACGAGTGGAATTGGGAAAATGAGAAATTGTATGGAAACACGACGCCCGAAGGGCGGAGTGTTTTCATACAATTTCGAGCTTTCCCAACTTCCACGAGTGTTGATATAACTATATATCAATACGGAAAAAATGTTTTATATTTTTTTTATAATATAGCAATGTCAAAAGCCCGAAGGATAAGAAAAATTTCCGTGTTTACAAGCGGCGGAAAATTTCCCGTGTTGACATTGAGTTATATCAACACGGCTCTTAGCCAATCAGCGTTCAGAATTTACAAATGCTATATTCTAAATCCATATAACAATAAGTTACATTACTCAGTTGGCAAACAGACATATTTGATAATTCAAAGTTCTTGTTCATCTTATTAGACGGAAAATGGCCATTAAGTGGAAAGCTGATGTCTGAATAAGAATAGTATCAGAGCAAATTGGCATGATATATCTTTTAATGTCAATTCAACGTTGTTAATCGCATTTGTTTAATTTGAACACGGTGCAATAACAACACTTAAGGGTATTGGCAATAAAACTAAGTTTGTCTTTTTAGAAGACATATTAAGATATTGCAAAAATTTAAAAAGGACCTACGTGTCATTCTTCCTCATTCAAAAGATATTTGATTTCGCATTTATGATTATCTATCCTAAGAATATGCCTGACTCATTATAATGCCAATTATTATATGGATTTTCAAAATTCTCTATTCTGATTGGTTGACAAGCGGTCCGTAAAAACCCATATCGGGACCGTGGTCGGTATTTTCCGTATCTGGACCGGTGTCCCGGATATAGTTTATCTGAAGGGAAATTTTTTCTTTGCAAATAGAAAAAGTTTTTGCTTTGCCCTTGCAAACTTGTGTGTTATTAAAATTTACAGATAAAAATTTCAAACAACCAAATTGTTTATTTTGTGTGTGTTGATGTTATGTACTAAGGTGAATATGATGTTTGTGATGTTACCCTGAGTGTGCATCCACTCAGAGTAACATCAATCCGACTTGACCACGTAGCTCAGTTGGCAGAGCATTGTACTAGTATCCCAAAGGTCGCGGGTTTGATTCCCACCGTGGCCAAGCTAACTTTTCAGCTTGCCCAGTGTGGATGCACACTCAGAGTAACATCACAAAAAAAACAAATTGTTTTTGATTGAGCATGCATGCCTACCGTATATTGTTACCCAGTGAAACTGACGATAGCCAATTTAATTCGAAAATTAATTAATTAGAAAAGCATATACTCACAAGTCGTGTTTACACTACCAGCCTTGGCCTAGCCTTGGCCTACATTTTGACAGTGTAAACAGACTTTGGCCTAGTCTTTGCCTGAGTATTTGCCTGAACATCACAAACATCATATTCACTGGGATACTAGTACAATGCTCTGCCAACTGAGCTACGTAGTTGTAAATGACGTCAATTGTTATTGCGCAATTTCGCGCGCTTTGTGAACACGTGACACTAAGTTAGGAACGCTTTTTGAAGAGGTTCGACAATCGACAGAACGACAACAATGTTTGAATTTTATTTTGTATATTTTTATTTATATTAAAGCGTCTAAATTGTACGAGTATACGACATTATTTACATGGCGCCCAACGTGGGGCTTGAGAAGAGTCTAAACGAAAGAAATATCGCAAAAATAGCTTGAGAAATACAGTTTGTAAACCGATTCAAGGAGAATTTCGAATATGGCCGAAGCACAATCAATCGAACGAAAACGAGCAATACGCAAGGCAAATCGCGGAGTAATCACGAAGTACATCAACGAAGCAAACGATCTTTTGCACGACGAAGACAGTGATCGAGACCGTCTTATTACGATTCAAGGGCTGCTTCGCGAAAAGCTAGATTATATAAAACGACTTGATAGCGAGATATTGGAAATTTTCGAAATAAAAGATATCGACAAGGAAATTATAGAATCCGAAGAAATTAACACTCGAGTTCTCGATGTAAACAAGAAAATATTAAAGGCAACGAGCGAAGGACACGTAGTTACGAATCAACCGGCAATATCCGTGCAAGATGAGCATATAAATGAACCACAACAAAGCGAACTGCAAAACGAAAGCGTTGTATCGAATAATTCGGCGCCGCAAGCAAGTACAGATCAAATTCAACACAATCAAGTAAGTCAACAACATCATGTAACGAAATCTAAACTCCCAAAGTTAGTACTTCCAAAATTTAAGGGAGAATTAACCAAATTTCGATCGTTTTGGGACTCGTACGATAGTGCTGTACATAAAAATAGTCAGCTGTCAACAATCGATAAATTCAATTATTTGTACTCGTTGCTTGAAGGGCCAGCTCTACGTTCAATTCAAGGTTTATCCTTGACCGAAGAAAATTATCAATCCGCTGTAGACTTGTTAAACCAACGATTTGGAAATCAACAACAAGTTATTTCGGCCCATATGGACGAACTACTAAAAATTCCAGTGTGTTCAAGCGACAAACCATCACAACTTCGATTTGTTTACGACAAAATTAGCGTTAGCGTAAGAGGTCTCGAAGCGTTAGGAGTAGCTTCAAGTCAGTACGGCAGTTTGCTTATACCTATTATTATGTCAAAATTGCCCTCAGAAATACGACTTCATATAGCGAAAAATACGGTCGATGAAGTGTGGAATATAACTGATTTGCTCGAAGTTATGCGTAAAGAAGTAGAAGCTAGGGAGCTTAGCGAAAATGTTCGAAGCCAAAGCGGTGAAATTGACAACCGGAAGTCAGAGACCGGAAATGAAATCGACAACTTCCGGAAATTCAACCAACGAAATAAAAGCAAATATCAAGCGTCTGCTGCCAATTTGTTTGTAAAGGACGACGAAAGTAACGAAACGAAGCCGAAGTGTGTGTATTGTGGTGAATTTCATTTTTCAGCTTCCTGTATTCATGTTAAAGACCCAAGCAAGCGAAAGGATATTTTGACCAGAGATAAACGTTGTTATTTATGTCTAAGAACAGGGCACATAACAAGGGATTGCAAGAAACAACAAAACTGTCGATGGTGCGAAGGTCGACACCATCAATCGATTTGTCAGCGTGATGTAAAGAGTAAAACACCAGAAAACACTACCAAAGGTGATTCGACTAGTGGTGCGGCTCAAGGTCAAAATCATACAACAACAACTACAACAAACGGGAATTGCTCCAAGGCTCTTTTACAAACAGCCACCACATTTACCTATTCAAGTCAACAATCGGCAACGGTTCCAGTTCGAGTTTTACTGGATAGTGGCAGCCAGCGAACGTACATAACCAATGGTTTAAAAGAAAAGCTCGGGTTGCAACCCACTAAAACAGAAACGTTAAAGTTAAATACATTTGGAGAAGATCGATTCAGCAAGAAAAGGTGTGATGTTGTACAGTTAAGTTTGCAAGGAAGTGATGGGGATATCGAGATTTCAGCAGTATGTTTTCCCAAGATTTGTTCGCCTATTCCCACAAAGATTTGTCCTGAAAGATATCCGCATTTGAAGGAATTGAACCTGGCTGACGTTAAACTGAGCGAAAGCGATGAACTTGAACACAATAACATTGATATTCTCATTGGTTGTGATTATTATTTCGATATTGTGAATAACGAAATGGTCCGAGGAGAGGGGAGAGGCCCTGTAGCGGTTTGCAGTAAATTTGGTTGGATAGTGTCGGGTCCAACAATGCGTGAAGAAAAGAACGATGAATCCTCGATGGTCCACCTTATTATGCAGAGAAATGAACTAGCAAGTCAATCATCGTATGTTCAAAATAAAGATGGCGAACTGATCAAAACTCTTAGAACCTTCTGGGACACAGAATCAATTGGAATCACAAATCACGATATTGGGAATCCAGAGGAATCCAAGTTTTTACGTGAAGTTAGCTTTGACAAACAAGAGGGTCGATATCAAGTTAGGTTGCCTTGGAAAACTGAAGCATTGCCACAATCAAACGGATATTCAACGTGTGTTCGAAGACTTAGACAACTTCATTCCCATTTAAAGAAAGATAAACATTTGCTAAATGACTATGACAGTGTAATCAAGCAACAACTCGAAAATGGCATAATCGAAGCGGTTCCTGAGGAAGATGATGATAGTGATGGATCGTATTATTTACCTCATCATGGAGTACTTAGAAAAGACAAAGAGACAACCAAGTTGCGGGTTGTTTTCGATGGGTCGGCTAAACCTAACGAGGAAAGTCCTTCAATTAACGAGTGTCTGGAAAAGGGACCCAATCTTGTTCCGAATTTATTTGACACAGTTATCAAATTCCGAAGTCATCCGATAGGTATTGTTGCAGACATAGAAAAAGCGTTTCACCAAATCCAGATATCGCCTGAGGACAGACGAATGCTGCGGTTCCTTTGGTTCGACGATATCACTGAACCTGTTCCGAAAATCCGACGATTCCAGTTTTGTCGACTAGTGTTTGGGCTTACCCCTAGCCCAGCAGTTTTGGCAACCATCATTCAACATCATTTAAGTAGACATAAAGAAAGGGAACCTGAAATGGTTTCTTTGCTCAATGATTCATTTTATGTCGATGACTTTGCTGGAGGAGCAAAAACTGATGATGATGCGGTAGAGGTTTATGAAAAGGCGCAAGCAATTATGAAAGACGGTGGTTTCACTCTCCGAAAGTGGATGTCAAATTCGAAGAAATTCCGAGAAATGGTCGAAAAAAATGAAGAGCATCAATCATACGTGAACGCGGACAAACCAACACTCAACCAAGGTAAACAAGATGTAACACAAACGAGTTCGAATGAGATTGTAAAGGTCCTTGGTTTACACTGGAACGTGCAAAGTGACGTATTCCAATTTGAAACCACCGAATTAGTGCGGTATGCCCGAACTCTACCACCCACGAAGAGATCGGTCCTTAAACTGTCAGCGAAAATCTTTGATCCGATTTGTATACTAGCGCCCTTCACGATCAATATGAAG